TAGATGTTAAGATGTTCAAAATCTTATCTCAATTAATTGCATATTTTTACATGCAAAAGGTCAGAGTGGAGCTTTTGTCTGTTTCTGGTATAAACGTGACACACAAACAACAAATGCAAACAACAACGATGGGTGACACGTTTGCTTCTCTTGGCCCAGCAAGGGTTAATTATTTCTTCAAAAAATGACCTGGAATGATCCTGGAAATTACTTGTCCTGTTCAAAGCTATTAAAGGCTCAATTACCACCACAATGCACAACCTGTTCCAGCAGGACAAATGTCCCTGATGCTGATGTCAGAATCAAAAAGTTTTCAAATAAGTTAAGGAAAGCTAATATGTATATAGCACTTTGTACCAATCTGATGGTTGAATGACCTAAATAACAGATTAAAATTAATAAACATCTTTGATGTTGTTCTTATGTGATTTCTTTTTTATTCAATGATTTAGCATCAAAAATGTTTTTTTTAATTGAGAATGCTTATTGTGTCAATATGTTTTTAGAGTCCCACCACCAGCTAAAATATGGCCAGCATCAAAAAATATTGAAAAGGAGAAAACCAGAAGAGCCTGTGAAAAATACAGAACATGTATGTCACTCAGAGAGGAAAAAAACAACAATGAGAAGCATTGATCTAAAGCTAAAATGTTTGGAAAACCTACACAATGCATCTGAATTCATTGAAAGGCAAAGAAAAGAGACATAAAGAGAAATACAAACCTACAAAGGCAGACACAGAGGACAAGCAGCATAGAAGTAGAAGTAAACCAACATACACTTTTAATTTTGGTCATCTGAAACACATTTACGTAGTTAAATAGTTTGTTTATAGATTGTTACAAAATGTTCTCCAATTCCTAGCAAACTTTTCATATATTTAATATGTATTTGAATATCTAATATATGAAAAGTATGCTGTACAAAACTTTTTTCTATATCATGGATGCATTTGTTTTTTGTCTCCAGGGAAACTATATCTTGAACAAATGTCCTAAGTGACATTTTGTGTAGAGATGCAAGCAATCAAAGCATTAACCTTGTGAACTGGTGCAATTTGTTTAAGACATTAGGAATTTCATAAATGCTGTTGCAGGTCTGTTGTTTTAGAGAAGCACTCTGAGTTTGATAGTTTGCACACTCTGTCCTCGGAGGCCAAGCAGTTGCAAAGTTCATGCCAAATAATTTATGTGTGCAAAAGAATTATGGCAGCTATGAGAGTCCAGTTCAAAATGGGAATCCAATCTGAAACACAGAGGAACACATTTAATCCTAGAATTAAATGTGATTGAAAGTGAAAGCTGTGCTGGTTGGGTTTAGGCTATGCAGTTAAGGCTATGCTGTCAGATGCAGTGGGAAAAAAAACAACAAAACTTCACAAGACTGATGCTCTAAGCATGGCGTAGACATGGAGTCAGAGCATAAAAATGCAAAAAGCATGATAGAGTTTTTTTCCCCGTGTGTGGCTACTATTGCCTTTGTTGAAGGCTTAAAAGATAATTCCCTTGCAACTTTTTAAAATTTTCTTCAGACAAGTTCAATTTCAAATCCAGTCAATGTGGGCGGATCTGTTGCTTTGTCCAAAGATGATACAATTATAAAATGTAAGAGTAATATTGTATTGGAGTCACTCTATCCCTTCAAAAAAACCTCAGGTGAAAAATACCTCAGATTAATTAAAGTTTAATTTAACTATTTAGATACAACATATAATTTACTGTAAGCTGAGGGAAAATGTAAATTTTGTAAGTCTGCAAAATGTACCAAATATCCATTATATTTCCAAATGCGAGTGATTCATGTCCAAATATTTGGATTTTTGGATAAAAACCTAATTACCTGGATGCTTCTGCCTGATTAAGATAAAAGTGGCCAAGATTTGCAGGACAGTGTTCCAAGTTCCTCAATGACAAATCAAGAATGACATTTTGTATCATATCCCAAGTCTGATGCTTCTGATCAACAACTTCCTCCACAGTTTTAAGCCAAATACTATCACAGTAATTTTGTATGTTTGGGTTTGGATTAAATTCAGGTTTTACACCAAGGACATAGCCAAACTGAGATTGAAAATGCTGGGAAATATGTGTTTGTTTACTTTAACCTTCCATTGGTGAGTTGTTTTAGTTCAGTTTGCTCTTTAATCTTCTTATTTTCAGAGGTATTAAAATCTATGAAGCCATGCCACAACACTGCCTCTTCCCACCATATTCTTCATTGAAATGAATAAAATGATTCAGTTGTCATTAGCAAACTACAAGCATTAACTCAAATAAGAAGAATGTTCACACTGATGTTTTGAGGAGTACAATTAACATGTTTTATGTAAATCTGTGCCACAGAATTTTTTCACATATGGCTTTCCTGAGTTATTTTGAAATATTTATGTATGCATAATTTATTTGTGCATGCTTCAATCTGGACAATCATATTTCTTTCTATGAACCATCTTATTTGGTACATAGAAAAAGAATCCTGATGCTGCAATATAGGTTTCACTGGAACCACTTTACATGAGACTCAAAATGCAGAGCTGATTCAATGATCCTCACAGACAGAGATCGCTCTGCAAAGAGATAAAAATAATCTGGTTTCCTCCAGTCATCAGTGGGTGAAAAAGGATCAAATTCTTCCGCCTGAAAACATTAAGTATAGATTCTTCGCACAGAGAGATATGTTTCAGTTGTTTGTTTCTGGGAATTATAATTATGGTATATCACTGACAAAATCATAAAATTCAGACACTTAGAAATTTGCAATATTAATTTTGATAACTTTAAATGTTTGGCTTTTGAAGTATGGACTCAAACTGATCTCTAGACTCCTTGTAAATCTCACCAGAACTCTTAAACTTTGTTTTACAAACTTCTCAGGCCCACTGATTTTTCTTTTAATGATAGGCATTTTTCTACTAAGCTTTTTGCTTCCACTCAACTTTCCTTGAACTTGCTGTTACCCAACCAGCCAACATCTGTCTTCTTTCAAGGAAGACTTTCATGGTTACCATCCAAAGATTTTTTGAAAGGTCAAAATGGCTCAAACTGTTTAACAACTATAACAGATTGTGCCATATTTATTTTGATTTAAAATGTTCTCCATCATGTAATGGCTTTTTTAAGAAGATAGACTGAATTTGATATGCATTCTTCTTTTCGGTTCTTGTTAAGGTGTTAACCTTGCTGCTCGCTCCCTTTCAATGTTGCTCCAGATAAGTGCATAAGCCAAGTTCCATAAATGTGAAAAAGCAAATATAGTTCCTCATTATTTATGCATGCATTCAGGCTTCAGGCTGATGGAGCCTCCCTTCACCTCCAATAACACTCAGACACCTTTTTAAACTGAAACACAACTATATTTTGCTATGTGTTTGTTTCTGTCTTGCTCTAAATATTCTGCATTGACATGTTATCTTCAAATGTGATTTTCAAATGCTTTGCCTTAATTTTTTTTGGAGTTTCTCTTTCATTTTATTCATGCATTTTGTTTTTTATTGTTCAAGTTGATCTGATTAAAAAAACATGATTTGTCCTTTACAGCAATTCCTGCGAAAATGTCAGCTGAAAACTCAGCATTTAAAAAAAAACATTGGAAGGGTGTAGGTGCAATATGTTACTTTACTCAGCTTCTTGCACTTTTTCTGTGTCTCCAATCTTCGTGTTATACACTTTCCTATACTAACTACAAATTTCTCTTATTTCAGTAACAGCAGGTACATCAAAGGATCTTATTACAACTTTGTAGTAGCACTTAAAATGTGCATTCACAAAGTAGACAAAGATCTGATTTGTGAGGTACTGATAACCAGGTCAGCATTCAGGGCAGATTCAGCTCAAAATTGGACGACTTGTCTGTGTATTGCTGTTGTTTTTGTTGCAAATACTGTCAGAGGTGGAAATGTAGCTGGTGTAAGAGATGTATGCATGGAAACTTGTTTCTGAATGACAAAATGATTCCAAAAGTTGGAATTGAGAAGATTTGTGTAAAAAATATTTTGGAGTTTTTGCTGTTCCACATGTTTGTATCCATGAATTTTATCAATTGAGAATCAGAATAAACATAGCAACTGTAAGTAACTTAAAAACTCAGAAGAAAATGATTCTTAAACATTTTGAAGCCATTGCACGTTCTCTTATCTTATGATTATATGGAGACTCGGGTTTTATCTCGGAGTGGAATATTTCCACAAGAAGTCCTGAAAGAATTCTGCAGACAATTGTCTTTCACATTATAGTGCTCCGAGGTTTTTGGGAATGTTTCTGAAGTGGACATATGGAAGTTGATGAGATTTAAATTCATGCAACTTGTGAGTTTTTATTTTTTTTTTGGCTTTCTGTAAATTAAACTACAGCTCTGTTGATTGATTTGAGTAACTTCCATTACTGTGAAATAAATGTGGTAGCTCTACTTTTCTTTAGCTTAAATGTGAGATGTCCTTTTTGTTGTCAATAACAATGTTTTATTCGTTACGGTACTTGTGCAGCTTTGGCTCAATTTACCATTCTGTCTATATTATAGTTATTGTACAAACACAACACAACTGCTTGGACTTAGTCAAAAAAATGAAGCTTCTTATTTCATAGAAATGCTGATTAATGTTATCTGTCCTATTTTAACAGTTATTCTGTTTGACATCTTGCATTGACTAAGACGGGCTGAACTGGAAGCACAAATGTTTCTCTGTCAAACACTGTCTTATCAGTATTTGACAGATAAGCAGAAAAAATTGGACATGATTGTAATTATGATTCCTGACCTTGTTGGTAGCACAAATTCTGATTAACAACCCAGACGCCAGCTGGTGGTCTTATCTCTGTTTCACTTCCAAAAACATACGAGAGCACACAGATAATCTTTAGTTTAGCTATGTACATTCTAACACAAAATTAACCGATAAGTACAATTTATAGTTTGTCCACAGGTTATAGGCTCTCTTTGATGTGGATGATGACCTGAGATGTTGATGGTTAATGAAGTGAGTTTAATGAGCACTTTGCTTCATTCGCATAACAAATGTGGCATGGTGATGTGATCTGAACAGCAATCCATTTACTCCACTCCATTTCTGAGGAGATGCTCACCCTGGGGAGTAGAGTCAAGATTCACTTTGATTTTTGACAAGCTTCTCACATTAGACCAGAAGCTAAACAGAGCAGAATGAATCCGGCAAGCGGAAGGAGAAATGCTTTCGGAGGATTCTGGAGGGAATTTCATTTTATTTATTTTAAACTTGCCAAACAGAACATCTAATATTTTATACAATGTTACATTTAGATTTTATCACTATTAAATCAAAATATTCTTATGTAAATAAATTAGTTTTAATGCTCTGAAGTGGTCTTTTTTATCAATTTCGCTGGAAAATTAAAAAAACAGTAAAGACTTTTTTTCACATTTTCATTCATTTACTAAATGTGTTATAATGGAGGCTTCTCTGCTATATCAAATTGTCACCAGATCCATGCATGATGGTTTAGCTTTGTTTTTGTTACCTTCTGTTCAGTTTGTGTTAAACAAAATTTCAGAGACTTAGTTTAGGCTCAGCAATGTCAGGCTTGCCAAGCAAAATGTACTCTTCCTATATTTACAAATAATGAAATGCATAAAATCAAAATAATATGCAAAACTTTAACCATAATCTTTATGAAACAATTTTGTCATATTCAATAAATAAATATCCCAATAAGTTTTGTTTGTGTTGAACAATTTTTTTAAGGTCACAGTTTTGTTTTTAAAGTAATATTTTTATTGATCCGTTATAATATTCTAATTTTAAATGCTGTGTTTTCATTACCGTTGAGCAGAAAATCATAAGGATTAAGAGAAATTGAGGTATTAAAACATCAGCCTGTGTAATTAATTTATAAAGTATTTCACTTGATGATGGCATAACTGAATTAAATGTATTTCTCAGTAATCTAGTTTTTTGAATAGGTCTGTACTTTCCTACATCTGACTTTCTGCAGAACACCTCAATTATCTGAGAAAAATCAATCTTATCAAATGACTACACATTTCTGAGAATTGCGTGTGTGTGTGTGCGTGTGTGTGTGTGTGTGTGTCGGAAAGTGGTTTTAATTAAGTGTGTAATAATAATTTGATGCCCAAAATCAGAATTTACATAATTTTGGAGTCAACATTCTAATCTGATATTTTATTTCAAAATTCAGCGTTGGATATTTGAGTTTAGTGATTTTTTTTTTTCATTAATGAAAGCATTATGATAAGCATATAGTATCATGTAAAAGCATTGAGTCCTCTTTTAAAGGTGGTTTGGTACGCATACTACTTTCATCATTTCATTTTTAACTTTGTGTTTGATGTTTTCTCAACATGGCGGATCATTTATCATACTGCTGAGGACAAATGTCTCCTTTTTTCAGATATTGAAGAAAAAAATAAATATTTCTAACCTATAATGTGCTTTTGTACATATTTAGTCTTTTGGTCATTTCGTTTGTATATTTCTTGTCCAGATGCTGAAAAAAGGTCAGAAGTCAAACGTTGAACTCTGTCCTATTAATTTTTCATAGATGCCAGAGCTGTCCACATAATGCAGTTGCAAAAAAGCCACAAAAAAATAAATAAATAAATAAATAATAATAATAAATAGTTCAACAGTGGCTGTTTTTTTTCATATTGTAAGAGTTATTATATGTATGTGACCCTGAGAAGCAGTTTGATTTATAGTATTTGGTTATTCCAGTATATTAAGTGTCTAGGGATGATGCAGAAAAGGCAGTTATGGTGAAATTCATGCTGGTATAAAAAGAAAAAAAAAAGAAAACTCTCTTCAGAGCTGTTTTTAGTTTTTAGTTGACTGGCAGGTTCCTCCTGGAAATCTCATAAAGATAAAAACAAAAGGTTTCTTTAGATCTTATCATTTTTTAAATAAGAATAACCTTACATTTTCAATGCCTTTACTACCTTTGAGTTGTTTGTATTGTGAAAATCATATAGAAACAACAGATTGACAGATGAAACAAATATGCTGCAAACTCAAAGCTTACAAACAATGCTAAAGGTGGCAGACACTTTTCATGTTTAACTGGGAGTGACAGATAATTTCACTACTATTCAAGGAATGTAGAGTTCATTTAAGTTCACTGAGTCCAAAATCTAAAATACTTCACTGATCAAACGTGATCTGGATTAAACTAGAGCTCTTTGATCCAATGACTATTTCAGTGATAGATTATTCTATTGATTCATTCTGACCATTAATCAATTAATCAGATGAAAATTTTGGAAACATTTGTAGATTTTTTTTAAATTTAATTAATCACTTAATATATTTTTTTATTAGAAATATACATTTGTAGCATGATTTCTGTGGATGTTTGTTTGCTTTGTATAGTTTGAAGTTAAAACTACTTAATTTTTAGAACTTGGAATAACCTCTTTAATATTTGCATGCCAAAGCTTCAGGACTGACTGAATTTGTGCTTTCTTCTTACTATAACAGTATACTTCGAAACAAAAACATTTCCAGTCTGGACAATTCACTGAGTGGATTGTGCAGCAATGTCAGATCTGAGTGCTTTCTCATTTTATGTCAGTCTTTTCCAAAGTGCTTTGGCCTTTTTGGAAATGAAAGAGAAAAGGATGTAGCGCTCTCTAATAATACAACCAACATAAGAAATACTGAAAACGCCAAAGAGAAAGACAACACAAACAGAAGTGAAATTATTCCGAAAATAAATGAGATGCATAAATATTAAGACTAGTACCTGTGCAGGAGATTCGTGTTTGCAGTACATCTGGCAGTGTGGAATGCATTTAGCTCCAAATCTTGTTTGTTGGCTGACAGTTAATCAGAACGCGATCATCTAGATGGAAAAATAAAAAATTGCACAAGAGGATTACAATCCAACCCCGTAACCCAGTTCTGGAATAGACATGAGTGAAATAGAAAATCATAATAACAAAGCCTTTTCCAGAATTCACCTTACAGTTTTAATGCAAAAGACGTGAAATAAAACTTAACAATATACACATTTGGAACTCATGCTATATGCATTGTTATAAGTACTTTCAGGAACTTGCCTTTTACACTATTTAAATTTATGGCTGTCTGGCCTGTGGCTTTACTACGTAATGACCCCATTACATCAATTTAAGTACCAATCAAGTTTAGAAAGGTACCAGGTAAGTTTAGGGAAAGTACGTGGTAATTTCTAGGAAAGTACAATTTAAGTTATTGGAAAAAATTTAATTATGTCACCTCATAGTGCAGCTTGTGAACTGGCAATTCCCTGTAAATTATAAGAAATTGGAGTCAGTTCTAACAAAATACTTACTGTGTTTCAACTACCTAGTCTTGCTTTCTAAATTAGTTCTACCCAAATATTTATTGATATTTTCTGTTCTTAATAAATATGAATATCAACGAAAAACCAGTTTTGGTCGAGGGAGAGTTCTTGCCAAAATGAAATTGCATTCATTGCTCTTATTTTCGTTGCAATCCAATCTGTACAATGGAGCAGAAACAAACAGTCTTTTTTAATTAACATATTTTTATGCTTTTGTCTAATATATCAACAAAAGGGACTTTTATGGTTATGCATGATGTTTGTAACTGTTTCAAATTGTCAACAACCTCAACATTGAACAGTTTTCCAATCAACCGCTGAAAACCGGCTCGAGACTTTTCCAAACAAAAATTTGCAGCCAAACTGCTTCCACTAGTGCAGTGGGAGAGACAGAAAGTACTCAACTGGCTTCAGCTCCAGGCCTCTCTTTGTTAGTTGTCCAGGTATAATTTCCAGGACTGATGGAAAAAGTTAGCTATGTGAAACATGGAGAGTATATAGAGCTTGAGTATAACTTTATTTGACAAGTGTATGATGAGAGACTGTGATGAGAGTTGATGTCATTTACTCTCTGGTGAATGTGAACTAAGAGAGTTTAGATTCTGGTTAGGTTTGTCTTTGCAAATCTAATGGCATTGTATGCGGTTATGATGAAACATAAAACAAGTTTTTGCGCCATTTTATATTCTAATAGATATGATTCTATATCTATGTGATGTTTGATTTGATTGTACATTTAAATTAGTCATTTAAATCAGCACATTTAATGTCACTGTTACTGACAGACGTAAAAAAAAATAGTATACATATTTGCCTGAATGTGGAGAAATCAAAATTTATTCAGTATTGGCTGAAAACATTTTGAAAGAAATATCTCAAACTGTAAAGAAACCGTTAATGTTGAAGACATTCCAAAAAGATGGGAAAATCATTCTAATTCTCTGCAGATGACAGGTATGTTCTGGATAATTGTACATCTCACTGCAGGCTCTGTTGATTACACACAGCAGTTTGCACCGATGGCTGACCTTTTCGTTTATTCTTCAATTTTTCGAAAATTCATCCACACAGTGGAAATGCAGTTATTGCTCTGAAAGTAAAAGAAGAAAGTAAATGAAAACAAACTTTGAAAAATGCATGAGAATCAAAACGTACACAAGAGAACAATACAATAAATACTTTTATGAAAAGGTTTAACTTTTCATAAACTTTTCACCAATAAACTCTGTGTCTTACAGACATGGTCGAGGGAGAGTTCTTGCCAAAATGAAATTGCATTTTGGCAAGAAAATGCCAAAATGCACTGTGTCTTACAGACACAGAGTTTATTGGTCAGTCACTCTGGGTTTCTGTTTCACATGAAATTCGGGCCCTCAAAAAACTGTCAGTGCTCACATGGAAAGAGATCACTCTGAGGAGAGACTTTCCCCAAGGAAATGCAGCACTTCAGCTCTTCAAGACCCTGAAGAGGAAAAAAAACAGACAGAGAGAGCAAAGTATTCCTCGAGCTGACACTTGAACATCAGTTCCTGAATGTCCGTCTGCAAAGGATCTCTATATATCTTAGGCTGCAAGGACGATGACTACTCATCAGTGCATCTGCCAGCCCCTGTCTCGGTAGTCCATTCATGAGGCAGTAATAATAAGTCAGAATCTGACTGAAAGATAGAAGACACAACCTCAAATCACAATTTTTTATTTTTATTCTTTTTTGTTTTAGGACTTTTGTTAAATATACAAAAACATGCGATGCAAATAATTATGATATTTCTACTAAAGCATGATGGAGAGGTAAAGTTAAATCATATAACCGTTAATGATTTCTTACTTGGGGAGAATTAAGAGAATTAGAGGTGATTGTAATGGCAGCAATTATAAAAAGTTTAATATGTTTTACAAATATGGACAACAATCTAATCGATGATCAAGTGAAAAAAAAAAACAACTGAATTGCAGCAAACGCTATTTTATGCATACACCTGGCTTTTCTAAGGGTGTCTTTGGAATTTAAGAGATTAAAATAAAAGTTAATTCAATAAAATGTATTAACTGTACTGGATAAGCTTTCATTTTAAATTGATTCCTTCATTAAATAAAAATGTAAGCAAATTATGTACACTTTTGTATACTTTTATTCATTCATACTTGGAGTATTAGGGTATTAATTAATTAGTTCTCAAATAGACAATATCTCAGATTGGGTAAATACTATTTCAATGTTTTACCTTTTAGATGATACAGTATTTTGTCCTCAGTGATAAGTTAAATCTGCATAAATGCTCATGTGCTGCCTCTTAATTTTGTCTAGAGACTGCAGCTGCAGCATAATTCATCTGACAAGTTTGATCATACAACCCTGATGCACATTTCTGCCATTGTCCAACTGCCAAACTGAATAAACCAAGTATTCCTCAAACACCTCTTGTCTGAAGCTATTTTCAAAAGACTACAGAGATTTAGTCATGCAATAAATAATTTATGTTGCGTTAAAAGCTTTTAAGAATGTTGTGACCAAACACACCCAGTCTTTCTAACCATATCACTTCTGCTAAAGTGTCACAAAAAACTCATGCTAGTTACTGCCCAACTGTGACATTTTGTGTGAGACAGGTTTGTAGGCTTTATCCTGAATGGAAATTTATTTTTATTTTCTGTATAATTATGACTTCATTGTGTTGGAAACTGTAGTTATGAACATTTCAACTTCCAAAGTAAGAGTTTAAAATCAAAAGTAATCTTTGAATTGTTTTAAACAAGCTACTATCTATTTTCCAGGCACATAGTTCCATTTTACAGCTCAAGCAAGCAACTTTGCTTACCTTATTTGTTGAGTAAAATGACAAAGATATCAAAAACAACTTAAAAGAAATTTGACTTTGCATCATATCCTTTCTGACATGCCCCCTGCAACACTTCTCCATGCTGTCCTTTGATGCTGCTTGGAACCGTTCATTGGAGCAAAGTAGTTTGTATGATCAGCAGACATGCAGTTCCAGCAGGTGTTTGGTAAGTGGTGCTGCCACTAGTCTGGTGGAACTGAGTTTGGTTGAGGGTTGCTTTCTGGTTTAGTTTGGCTGAAAATTGAAGGTCCAAGTCAGAGCTTTCGATAAATAGATTGCACATTGTATCAGTAATGTTAAGGCACCCCTGAATGGCTGACATGCCACTGCATGTAATTAGGTGTTTAATGAGGGAATGACATTGTAAGATGATATAAAGGTGAAACATGCCTATGTACGTTTTTATGTCTCAAAAAAAGCTTATACAAGAAGTGTCCATGTATCCCCCTTGAATAAGACTTGCTTCAGACAGATGTCATCTCCTGTCAGTGACACAAACAGCGTCTGCCAGCTGTCTTCCTGCTTTGCTCCAAAAATGTCAGAATCAAGTCATTTATGGCGTTTTAGGCTAAAAACTGATTTTCCTAGCACTTGATTTGAATAATTATATTATGAAGGTGGTTGTCCCCTAAAGTTTTATGGCTTATTATTTAAATGTTGCTGCAAAAGAAACTTTTTCTTTTCTTCTCTTTTAGTATTTTTATGACTGACTCCTCAAACACCCTTTTATGGAAAGATACGCAAAATCTTTTAAAAGAAAATAAGCTTTCACAAAAGGGGTTATTAAGTGCCGTCATCGTATCCTTTAACTTTAACAAGGGTTTGAGATTTAGTCGATGCAGCTAACTCAAATAAACCATGATTCTGTCGAGCATCATCGTACACCACTCCAATTTTTCAGCAGAACATTTACTTTTCACAGCAGCCACTTTAGTACTATCCCAAGATGTTTTTTTTTTTTTTTTTGTATAATTTCATCCCGTAAAGATAAAAATGTGACACATTTACTGAGTAACTGGTTTTTTGAAAGCTTCTCTATTGGATCCACCTGGCATCTATTAACATCTTGGATCATTATCAAAAGGAACAGATTTACCTCGTCTGACCCTCTGAGGGTTTACCTTTTGTGTTTGTAATTCAGAACAGTGTGATGATCCTGTGCATGCAATATACTTTTATGCACCATTGGATATAAATTTCTGTCATCTGTGAAAATGTGATTGCTAAAACTTTTGTTGTTTTTAACTATGCAGCTGGTTGTTTGCTGGCTGGTCTTGAAAGAGCAACTTGCCTCATTCAGCTTCCTGTTGATTTTGCTGTTCTTGACACTCAAAATAGTATTGCAATCATAATCTCAGCACAACTGTGTACAAAACAAATTCTGCAACAAGGACTTACAAAGTTTGCTTGTTCCCACCTGTGGAATGGAAGCAGTGATTGTCAGCTGCATGGCTTTGTTTTCCAATAATAGTCCACTTGCAAAAAAGCATAATTTGAATGCAAATCGCACAAAAAAAAAAAAAAAAAAAAAAAAAAGGGAGTCTGCTTTTAATCTGGACCAAACAAGTGGGCCAACAGACTTTCCTGGTGTGAATAAACCCTTTAGCAGTATGACAGAGAATACACATGGCTAGAGTTGCATACTGAAATTTCAGGTTTGCATCACTGTTTGACTGTTTAAATTGAAGTCTGGTGAGCGGTGTCTTATTACTGACCAGTTGGAATGAGTCAGCCTGAAACCCCAGCCCATGCACTTGTGACAAGCTGATGTAATGCATCCTATTTTTACCTGAGATACACTCTGTCCCTCTGTCCACTGGTCTACTTTGCATATGTCCTGGAACTTTGACAGTTCTGTTGAAACAACAAACTCCTACCTGCTGGATATATTTAAAAAATGCTCATCAGGAATGCAGAACTATGCACTTTGATTTATTATATTAACAGAAGCTAGATGTGTTTATTTATGTGTGTTGCAGTTATCTACGACATCATTTGGTTTTTATGACTCATGATAAGAAGGAAGTACAAGTGTTTCCAATTCTTTGCTTTTACATATGAGAAAAAAAAATATTTATCTGGTTATAAAATTTTAAAAATCTATTCTGAAGTTTAACAATACCAAGACAATAGATTCCTCACTGTTCTTACAATTAATAAATGGTGTCAGAATTGAAAATGTACGTGAGAAAAACAATGTCCATATTTCATGCTTTCAGATGATTAAAAAGCGTAGTAGCAATTAGGTGCAACTGCACCTATAAAAGCAGAAGTTTTTGCAGGCCGCTGATCAAGATCTTACAGGTCACAGTATCAAGGAAGAAATACATTAGAGAAAGAAACTCCTGGCATTCAATCTGGAAAAGATTACATGGTCATTTCCAAAGAAACTACAGTAAATCATCATGCAGAGAGAAAAAAGACATCTAAGACAGCTGACAGTCTTCCATGGGGATTCATGTCAAAGCAAATTCACAAGCTGAAACTGTGTATTGCAGAGTGAAATGACAAGAAATTAACCGCCTGCAGCATCTCAGTTTATACAGGCCTCTGTCAGCTTGCTAAATGTTAAAACACATGACAGCACAATTTGAAAAATACTCAACAGTTACTGTATGGCTTGTTTGGAATTGTTTAGAAAGAGTCTCTTCTCTATGTGGCAGGAAGACAGTTTGCAAAGCTGCATCTAAATAAACCACAAGACTTCTGGGACAGTTTGATTTACACACAATAAGTAGAAATGTTAAGTCATTATAGGTACTGTGCAATATATATATATAAAAAGCATCATGCAGATAAGCAGAATAACATCAAAGCAGATGTTATGGACAGTGGTGGAGGACAGATGATTTCAGCTTGCAGTCATGCAATCAACAGTGAGTTACTCTGTATGCAAAAGAATTTCGGAGTCAAATATGAGGCCATCTGTCTGACAGCTTAAACTTGGCCCAAACTGGGTCATCAACAGGTCAGTGATCCCAAACACAGCAGCAAATCTACAACAGAATGGCTGAAAAAAAAAGAAAAAGGTTTTATACTCAGAGCTTTTTCTTTTTGGCAAGATGTTTGTTTAATAAATAATGACATTATGGAATCCTTAAGTATCTTGATGCAAAATCATCAGAACTGAAAGAGGGTTTTGATGTCTATTTACTATGACTGCAAATATTTTGATGGTACCACCACGATATCTAGTTATAGCAGCAACATGTGAAGCGCTAAGTACATCTCATAGACATATAATAACTAATTGATTACTGATTCACAATCAAGGAACAAAAATTTGAATGTGTCATGCCAGAGTTTGGTCTAAGCCCTGACCTTTAACATCACTTTGGATCTAAATTGCATTGGAATTTTCCAACAACTAATAGAGATGTAAGTCAAAGAAACATGGTTATTAAAGTAAAAACAATCTTCATTAAAACCACAATTCATTGAAAAAGTTGGAATTATTTGATAATCTTGTGGTTTTAGGTAAATATCCTCACAGTGAACTGCTTTTAAAAGAAACACTTGTAAAGTCCAAGTAGCATATTCAGCACAATGACTATTTGGTCTATTTTTATAAAAGCCTCGCTGGCAAAGGCAAGATAATTTGCACAACATTTTTATGTTTTTATTGG